TTTATGAAGAACGTGCTATGAACTTTTGTGAATAGTTTTAAATCTAAGTAATAGCATTAAAGAAAACACATCAAAAATTTATAACAATAATGATCTACATATTTATAAATAGGTTATACGACACCTCTTTAAGAGTTTTAATAAGGAATAGATAGTGGAACATACCAAAGAAATATGTAACTTTTATATTGTTGTAAATATCACTGTTTTTTTTTTTCAATGTTTTCTGCTATCAATATTTTCTATCAGCAAATGAATCCCATACACTCAACATCATTATTTTGAAATTCCTGTTCGGAAGTTACATCCTATGCCCAAGTTTGGTAGCCATCTTTTTATTGGATCAATCGCGTAGGCATTATGTCAATTGCAACTGCTAAGATGCTTGGAAATTTAAAATCAATGATTACCTTTTCTTTGTCTTTTTTTTTTTTTTGTAAACATAATTATTAGACAAAATGTATTATAATTATTGTATTTTTTAGGACTAGTATAAGTAGTATTTGACGTAAATGGAATGTGTAATTTCTTACTCAAATCAGCATCTGTATCAATGTATCGTTCAACTTCAAGGAGAGAAGTTAGCTGATAGGTTGAGAAAATAAATTCAAGGTGATGCGAACCCACGTAGCAATTGAAGTTTCGAAACCTACACGAGATCGAATCACAACCCAAGAAAGTCAATAAATCAAAGTTTTGAGATTGATTAAAAAATATTGAACCAAGCAATCAATAAATTGTCGATAATAAGTAGACCTCTTGATCACAAGACTTGAGAATCTTACCCGGTTTGTTTGAACGCCACAAGAATTAAAATCTTGATAAGTTCAGTAAATTATGAAGAACAAGATAAAAACAATTTGCCTCTCAATTGAATATATGATAAAATTTGTTCTTTACAATGAAATAATAGGTCCTATTTATAGAAAATCCATAAAACCTAGTTATAAACGGAATTATAGTCTAAGCGATTACAAAGATATAAAAAAAAATAGAATTCTAACTAAAATAAAAGATCTCGCAAAAATTTGAAAAATTCGTGACCACACTTGAAATATGCGGTTGCATAGCTTCCTTGGATGCGACCGCATAGAAGACTAAAATACATTAGTTGGATTTTTTTGCTTGTCTCTATGTGACCCATGGACTTTTACGCTAATGCGGTCGCATAGTGTAATCTGTTTTCTCTTGCGTCTGCAGCCTAAATCAAGTTGGTCTATCGAAATTCCTCTTCCGAGCCCAACATGAAACTTGTTCCTTTGCTCACAACGATCGACATTTCATCCGTTGTAGCTTGAACGAGCAATTCCATCTCTTCTTTGACACTCTTTGCTCGCGATCGAGTCATCAGCCCGTCTTCGACAATTAACCGATCTTTGATCGGACTTGCCTTTGTTGCGTTCATTCCATGGATCACATCATCCCCATCCTCTTTAAAAGGATTCGACTTCGAATTTGTACTTGCATCAAAGAGAGAAATATCAAACACATTGAAAGTAGCTGAACATATTATACTCACCAAGAAGATCTAGCTTATAGGCATTGTAATTAATCCTTTCAAGAACTTGAAATAGACTGTCTCCCATGGTTGCAACTTTGATTTTCTTTGTCTAGAAAGCGTTCATTTCTCAAGTGTACCCAAACCCAATCACCGGGTTCAAATGCAATGCTCTTTCGACCTTTGTTTGCTTGTGACACATATTGCTTATTTTTCTTTTCAATTTGCATTCTTACCTTCTCATGAAGTGATTTCACCAATTCGGCTCTCTTCTTTCCATCTAAACTACCTCGTTCATTAATAGGTAAAGGAATTAAATCTAAAGGTATTAATTGATTAAAACCATATACAATTTTAAATGGGGAAAATGAAGTAGTAGAATGTATGGCCATATTATATGTAAATTCAATTAATGGTAAGCACTCTTCTCAACTCTTCAAATTCTTATTAACTATAGCGCATAGCAATTGTATCATGGTCTTATTAACTACCTTAATTTGTCCATCAATTTATGAGTGACAAGTTGTAGAAAATAATAACTTTATGCCTAACTTATTCCGCAAAACTTTACAAAAGTGACTAAGGAATTTGACATCCCTATCCAATAGAATACTCCTAGGAATCCCATGAAAACGCACTACTTCCTTAAAGAATAGATACGTTATATTGGTGGCATCATTGGTTTTATGATATCGAATGAAATGTGTCATTTTACTAAATCTATCTACCACCACAAATATCGAATCTCATCCCTTCTTAATTTTAGGTAAACCCAACTCAAAATCTATAGAAATATTAACCCAAGGTTCACTAAGAACAAGTAGAGGTATATACAATCCTTACGATAAAACTTTAGACTTGGCCTTCTTACAAGTTATGCATCTACTACAAATCCGATCAATTTCAATTTTCATCTTAGGACAATAAAAATGTTCACCTAGTATTTCTAAAGTCTTCTTAACCCCAAAATATCCCATTAAGCCCTCATTATGATTCTTGATATACCCGAACGATGTTGTATTAGCGATCCTTGGTAGAGTAACATCTAACATCACCAAAGTATGTATGTCCTTATATAAGGCGCTGTGATGACCTGAAGTTAAAGGATCAATTCCACTACCGAATGTCAGAGATTAACTACTGACACTAAAATAATTATCCATGTAAAATCTCCCAACTGGTCTCTAATGTTTTGCTCTATAACAAAACATCAACGTGTTCATTTAAGTGTCATGCACTTTAACTTGCAAGGTCAGCTTACTTCACAAGTAAAAAATGTCACACGTGATGATCTATCCATAATAACGATATCCGTGTCTTATTATTATTTACGACCACGGATGAATTAAGATGCAATCATATGTAATTTGTATTTCACAATTACAACTCCCTATGATTAACTATTACCAAGATCTAAATCTAAGGACTTTATTATTTAATTTGATTGAATATTAATTAAGTAATAAATCCGCCATAAAATTGCATCAATTATATATCAAAAGTGTTTATGTCTAAAGTTGATTGGACCGAAAGCATAATATTTACAAATTATTCTTCTATAGAGGGAGAGAGAAGTCAAGTTGAGAACTATTGAAGTGGAAGTGAGGATTGTGTGAGGAGAAAAAACTGATAGGAAATGCTGACACATGTTCTGGCATTTGTTAGTCCCTTTTATTTTATGTCGATGTAGATAAAACTCTAGAAACTATTTCCAGTATCCAATTATCCATCATATCCATGAACCCTATTCATAACCACCTACAACCAAAACACAAAAAATCAACTCCAATGTGATTGAGTCAAATTAGAGCTTGTTTAGAGTGAATTTTTTCTTCAAAAAATTGATTTTTTGATCGTTATTTCACTATTCCAGCCGTCATATTTGACTTCTTCTCTCACATATGGACTCCACTTTTCTCATAACGGTCAAAAAATCAATTCTCAAAATCACTCCCAAACAGACTCTTAATATCTCAATCTCTCCAGCACAACATAATTAAGAAGCACAGATTCAAAGTCAAACTGGTGATATCAATGAGAACTTTACTGCCAACAAGTGCAAAAACAGTTGAATATTTGGTTGAAAATTTGGTGAATGAAGGATAAGAGGATAAATTGAATGAGATTATCACACTGATAATGAAGAAGCGACCGTACTTGCTAATGTGAATGAATTGAATGAGAAAGATGATGATGTTTAATAAAATTGTTTAGGGCCCGTTTGATTGTAAAAATGAAATTTGGGTGGAAAGAAAATGAATTATAGGGAATTGAATTACTTAAAAATTGTTTTCTTAAGAATTGTTAATTTTTGTGTTTGATTGGTATAATTTTTCACGTGAAAAATGTTGAAATAAAAGTATTTTTTGGGATTTGTTTGACTTTGTTTTACATGAAAATTGTCAATTAAAGTGATCAAATTTACTGGTATTTGGGATAAAATTTGTTTCCATTGCCAAAAAAAAAAAAAAAAAAATCATCTATCTTTTGGTATTCGTTTGATTTTATTTTACATGAAAATTGTCAATTAAAGGGAAATATTTTTTTACAATAATTTTTAGAATTTGTTTTCATTGTCTCAAAAAAAGGTGAACAGTGGATTGAAAAACCAAGAAAATGCCAATTCTCAATACAACCAAGAAAATAGAATTCCATGAAAAATAAAACATATCAAACACACAAAATTGAAAAAAGTTGAAATTCGAATTCCATGACCAATCAAATAGGCCCTTACTGTTACATTGTTGCATGTTAAGTTAATAGGTTTAGTTCCAAAATAATGCTAAAAAAAATAAAAAAAAAAATTGAATTCTCGTTACAATTTTACGGCTCATTTTTGATGGTAGACTCATGTCTGAAACTGCAGTTGACCGTAGGGTAGGTGGCGATTCCTTGAAGCCGAGCTATAGCTAGAGTACTTGAAACTTGATACACCTTTTCCACATAAAAACTACTCATTTGACGGCGCTTAGAAGGTGGCGACAGCGTGAAGAATCTACTTGCAGCATCATTTTTTCTACTACAAAGCTACCAGAGTATGCAATATAAATTTGATTCTTTTGCTCTCAATGAAATCATTAGCTAAATGAACACAACAATTTGTAACCTGATGTAGGCGTCATGCAACTCATGTTGCTTATGTCGACTATAATAGCTAAGTTCCACTGTACTGACAAGGAGATGTGCCTTTTCTTTACATAGATATCATATACAGTAAACATTGCTTGTACACGGTTCGATTTGTGATTTTCATTTCAAATTTTGTGTGCTCAGATATCGAGATCATTAATAAAGTTTAAATTTTGAACCAAATTAAAGTAGACCGTACTAACATCTCCATATGCAAAAATTGAATATGCCGATCCCCATTCTTTAGAAAAAATGAATTCTTTTACAATGTTTTGACATTGTTTTAATCACACATTCTTCAATAAAATAATATTACACGTAAATTCAAAACTTTTCCTAATTTTTTAACTACACATTTCTCATCAATACACTATTAAAGAATTCATTTTTCCATCCAAAATGGGGCTCAAACAAGGGCTATATTATCGTCTGTTTGCATTCTACGGAACAAGTTAAAATACTAATAAGCAATTCGTTTAAATTTAACATTTCCTTCCTCCAATACAGTCATGTGCTTCCTCTTTTTCGATAACTTAAGCGGAGTCACTGAACTGGGCAGCTATTCGTGCACGCAATTCCTCTAAGCTCTCACCTTCTTTGGCTCTCTCAAGAACCTGAAAGCAAGCAGGCAGTTAAGAGTTGCACTAGAGCATACACAAAACCATGCATTACTTTGCCGACTTACCAGATGACGACCATACAAATGGGTATTTGAAAGAGCTTGAAGGGCATTCTGAACTTCTTGCTTCGTAACACACTCTACAAAAGCAAAACCTTTGTGGTTGCAGTTGCCAAGCCTCTTTGGCAACCTTAAACTCTTTATCTGCAGGGTACAAATCAAGTATGCCGTAGCATTTATCAACTAAAGACTCGTGTGAAATCCATACATATCAAAAAATTGAATATATATATCTTTCAGTACGAGGCAAACTCAAGTTCTATGGATAGGGAGAGACGGGGGATTCTTAGATCTTTATTTGTACAATTTGGCCGCAGTGCTGAGGAAACTTTATTACAGATTACCAATATACAAAAAACTCAGAATCCATTCATCTTTGTTATCTTCTACATGTTATCGGCAAATGCTATACCGAATTGAGAAAAGAATAATCAAATAGCAAGAATCCCACCAACCCCTTCCTAACAAGAAATAAAAGCGACAAATCAACCCGATGGAGACACCTTTCTGGGGACTGAGTTGGTTATACCAAGTGATATATCAGTGAAGTTCGATATATCAGTGAAGTTCTAGATTTAGCCGCCTTGAGTTCAAAATGCTAAAAGTTCGACAAACATGTTCAATGGTAGGGACGCCTAATACAAAAACAAGATGCCTAAGAAATTTAACACCGACAATGAGCCCCCATCCACCCCTCGTTGAATGTTCCATTTGAGAACATCCTGATGAAGGTAGAAAACCAAATAAATGTTAGGTCTTTTCACCGACTAAAAATTGTTGAAAACGACTTCATGTAGCTGAAATAAAACAATAGGGCCTAGTATTTGTTTTTTTGTTTGTTTTTTAATTTTTTTGGGGGGTGGGGGTGAATCAATAGGCAAGAATGAAGGGAAGGATTTATACACACGACCAGCTAGTTGAAATTTAGCAAAACAAAAAACACAAATCTCAAAGGAAATGCAAACAGAAATTGGAGCCCGATGTTGAGTTGAAAGGTTCATAAATACCTATCATACTGCTCAACCATTTAAATCAACGAATAAGTTACAACCGATTTCAACATTTGATGTCCGCAGGCAATCAAACTTAACCTTTTCAATAGAAAACAAACCAAGTACTAAAAATCAAAAGAGGGTCCAGAAATTTTTGAACAGGATAAGTTCATATCCAAATCATGCAGATAAAAGCAAACACGGTTAAAAAGAACAGAACTTGAGGTTCAGTTTTGAGCTCTAAAAAAGGGTCACAGAATTAGGCAAACAGCAAAAAAATTATAGCAGCATTTGCCATTTTCCTTCCTTGAGCATTCCCAACAAAACATTCTAACTTTTATTATCACTTCCGAGAGCCAAAAGATATATCGAACTACAAATTAGAAGGCAATTCAGGAGGAGTTCATCGAATAATAATTAAATCAACAAAACATAGTAGTCCTCGATCAAAAGTTGGGAATTATCCACACATCATATTTTATTGCAACAAAATAAAAATTAACACAACAAATAAAGGAAAAAAAAGGAACAATTTCATTACAGCAAAAATGAGCGACTATACCTGGCCAAATGGACTAAACAGTTGTCTAAGATCCTTTTTAGTTGCTTTGAAAGCTACATTCCTTATGATCAATTTCGTTGAACTCTTGTCGCTGTCAACTTTTTTATGCTGATGTTCATCGATTTTAGCATGACAAAGTTTCAATGTGACGGCATGCCCATCCAAATCAGTTTTCTAGGGAGAAAAGGAAGGTGACATACACATGAAGACTCATCAAATGCAATTGATGTAAGCCAAAAATTAGCAGAATTTCGAATATTACCTGCAGATCCCTGAGAATTTTTACTGCTGTATCAACAGAATCGAACTCTATGAAACCAAAACCTCTTGAAATGTTCTTTCCATTTTTGGGATGCTTGTTTATCTTAAAAAAAGAAATAAATAGAAAACAGAGAACCAATGACAACAGCAGTAAATGCAATAAAAGAATGTACTAAAACAGTAGCGGCACAAGTTGACAGAGTTGAGAAAGACCTACCCTGACACTTAGTATTCTTCCTTCCTTCATGCGCTCTGTGAAATGCCTTTTCAAGTTCTCGTCTGACGTTTTGAAATTCAGGTTCTTCACATGCAATGTGCGGGACTGTTAACTCATGACAATACGACAAAATGATACTGTCATTACTATGAACTGTGCTAAGTAAACATCCATTCAACTTGAAACAATATCTTGCACCAAAAATCAGGGAAAAGGTTAAGTGCGGAAACGAAGTGTTGAAGAAAAACTTGAATTTTTATTGATAGTTTTTGAGTTGCTACAGCACACTCAATAATGTTTTCTTCTTTTTTTTTTTCCTTTTTACAATGAGACTACATGAATGACCTCTATTTATAGGACCACATGGATAACTCTAGAGACATGGGAATATAAATGGACACCTAATAATTCATGAATTTGCATCATGTATTTTCCTGATACATTTTCTTTAAGTGCATCATGTATTTTCCTGATACATTTTCTTCAAGTGCATGTAACCTTATTTATTTCCTAAGATTACAAATTAATGCCACATTTAACACCCCCTCTTAATTTGTAATCTTGAGTTTTTCCTTGATCTTGTTGAACTTGTCAAATGTGACTGTCTTTGTTAAAATGTCTGCTGGCTGATCATTTGTGTTGATAAATTCCATGCAAATTTCTTCTCGACTTACCAAATCTCGAATGAAGTGATGACGTAGTTCAATATGCTTCGATCTGGCATGAAAAATTGGATTTTTTGTCATAGCAATTGCTGACATATTGTCGTGGCATGAAAAACTGGATTTTGTCATAGCAATTGCTGACATATCGTCGCAATGTATTGTTGTTGGCTCTTGTTGTTCAAACATCAAGTCTTTTAGAATTCTTCTAAGCCAAACTGCTTCACAAGCGGCATCCGCAGCTGCAATGTATTCCGCTTCTGCAGAAGATAGTGCTATAGACCTTTGCTTCCTCGAACTCCATGAAATAATATTTGTTCCAAGACAAAAGATGTAGCCCGATGTACTTTTGCGGTCAACAAGTGAGCCTGCCCAATCACTGTCAGTGTAGCCAACAAGGTTGAAGTTATTTTCCTTTTTGAACTCAATGCCTTGATTCTTGCTTGGTTCATTCATGAACCTGGAAAGTAAACTCACTGATTGAGTGATATCCGGCCTTGTGTTGAGGTAGATGAGTGAACCAATTAACTTTCGGTAGACTGTAGCATCTACTTTTTCAGCATCATCATTGACTTGGAATTTTTCATTCGGCCCCATTGGAGTAGAGACTGGCTTGCACTGGTTCATGCTGAATTTTTCTAGAAGATCATCAATATACTTCTCTTGAGATAAAAAAATTCTTCCCGGGCTTTGTTTGACTTGGATGCCAAGAAAGTATTTCATTTGACCCAAGTCACTCATCTCAAAGTCTCTCATCATCTTTTTCTTGAATTCTTCCACCATGCTTTTACTTGTACCAAAGTATAGAAGATCATCCACATAAAGACATACTACAAGAAAGTCTCTTCCAAGATTATTGACATATAGAGATGATTCACTCGTGCTTCGATTGAATCCATTTTGGATGAAATAGCTATTGATTTTGCAATTCCATGCTCGCGGCGCTTGCTTTAAACCATAAAGTGCATTGTATAAACGATAGACTTTTCCTTCTTGTCCTTTGATTTCAAATTCTTCGGGTTGCTCGACATAAACTTCTTCTTGAATTTCACCATTTAAGAATGCCGATTTTATATCAAGTTGATAAACACATACCTCCAATTGAGCTGCCAGTGCCAAAACAGTACGAATTGTCTCCATTCTTGCAACCGGAGCATATGTTTCAGTGTAATCAATTTCGGGCTGTTGAGAATACCCTTTTGCAACAAGACGTGCTTTGTGCTTTTGGATCGACCCATCTTCATTGTATTTTATTTTATAGACCCACTTGAGTCCAATGATTTTCTTCCCTTCTGGTAAGGTAACAAGCTTCCAAGTTTTGTTTTTCTCAATTGTGGACATTTCTTCATTCATGGCTTTTGTCCAACATACTTCTTTTGAGACTTCTTCAAATGATTGTGGTTCACTAGAGAACAACCCAAGTTCACATGACTCATATATGTCTTGTAGTGAACGTGTCTTTCTTGGAAGGCTTTCTGGATCAGATTCTTCCTCACTTCTTGGAGTAGGGTTTGGATTATGCTCTAAATTTCCAACTTGTGACGGACCTGCTTGAAATGTTAATGGATCAACAAAATGGTATGGTGTCTGGTCCACAACTTCTTTCCCTTTCCAATCCCAAGATGCAGCTTCATCAAAAACAACGTCTCGTGAAACTGTAATTTTGTTTGTAGTTGGATCTAATAACCGATATCCTTTAGATTCATCACTATATCCAACAAAGACAAGTTTTTGTCCTTTCTCGTCAAATTTCTCCCGATTTTGAGAAGGGATAAGAGCATAAGCAATGCTGCCAAATATTTTGAAGTGATCAACCATTGGCTTCTTTTTGTTCCAAGCTTCGTATGGAGTTTTATTCCGTACAGCCTTTGTTGGAGACCGATTGAGAATGTATACTGCCGTATTTACAGCTTCTGCCCAATACAGATTTGGAAGTCCTTTGCCCTTTAGCATGCTTCTTGCCATTTCAACAATTGTGCGATTTTTCCTTTC